TCATCCCATGGCGTCTGGGAAGTGCTGTCATGTGACTGCCTCATGGCTGGGGATGTTAACCGTCAGTGCTTGGTTCAGGTGGCATCAGCCAGGCCTGTGGCCACTTCTTCCCCCTCCCACACGCTTCTCTTTGGATGGAAGGCTCCAAGGCCAGCCCACATTTCAGAGATGAAGCTTCCAAACTTTGCTTTCATTTGATAATTGTTGGTGCCAGGAACTTCCCACTGGCATGCCACTCAGCCCCACTGTTCCCGAGAGGAGTCCAGACTGGCAACATTTCTGTTACAAATGATCAGGAATCAGCCTGGGCGCCGGTGACTCACACCTGTAAGCCTAGCTGCTCAGGAGGCTGAGATCTGAGGATCATAATTAAAAGCCAGCCCAGGCAGAAAGTCTTCGACACTCACTGTTCAATTAACCACCAGAAAGCTGGAAGTGAAGCTGTGGCTCATGTGGTAGACTATTAGTCATGAGCACAAACCCTTAAGGACAGTGCCCAGGCCATGAGTTCAAACCCATGACCAACATGTCCATTAGCCATATCTTTTTTTAAAACTCTTTTTACAGATGAAGAAAACGAGCTTCAGAAAGAGGTGTGTCCTTTATCATCATACAGTCATCAGGAGAATGGCCTGGGGGCGCTGACCAGACAGCATTTCCCTAGAGGAAATTGCTTAGTAGGTATTCTCATTGGTTGAGATGTGGGGCTGTGTGGGTTGGATTGGCACAGGTGGTCTTTATTTAAGGCTCAGGGAGATGAGACAGCGTCACAGGTCACCTGCTGCCCTCGGGCTGCTTGTACAGATCCTCGAATAGGGGGGTATCAAAGAGAAGACAACCTCACGCTCCCCTGCTGGGGTGGGAGGGGGGAAGCAGGCTGCCTCCTCCCACAGTCTGGCTGGACAGAGATGCTGGATGGAACTGGGTGCTGGTGGTTCATGTCTGTAATCTAAAGCCAGCCCAGGAAGAAAAGTTCATGAGACTGTGATCTCCCATAAATTACCCAAAAAGCCCATAGTGGAACTGTGGCTCAAGTGGTGAAGCGCTAGCCTTGAGAAAAAAAAAAAAAGCTCAGGGCCAGTGACCAGATGATGCTAAGTTCAAGCCCCAGGACTGGCAAAAACAAAGAAAAAAGAAAAAAAGAAAGAAAGAAAAGAAAAAGAAATGCGGGGTAGAAAGAGCTGGAGTCCAGGTCTCAGCTGGCCACAGATGACTCCCCACGTGGCCACCTGTGAGTGGACATACTCATCTCCTGACAAGTGGCAGGACAGCTTATCATGACATTGGATATTAATGATATGACATTACTCCAATAGCCCCAGCATAGAGGAACCGAGAGTCAGCTACTGCCAGCCAGCGTTGTTTTGAATAAAATTCCCAGAGCTGATTTAGGGAAAACCCATCACTACCACCATCACCACAACACTATTAAAATGGTCATGATTTTTGCTCTGGTTTCCCTAGGAGAAAGACTCCTGTCTAGCAGGTTTATTTTTTCTTTCATTCCTATTGGATGGTACCATTCTTGTTCAGGGCCGGTCTCCATCCTCTTAGTTAAAATTGTCTCTGTAAACACTCTCACAAACACATTTAGAAACAGGCTTTATGACTCTCCTGGGTATCTCTCAGTCCAATCAAGGTGACAGTTAGGATCACCCACCGTGACAACCCTCTGAGATGGATACTGTATCTAAACACAGGGACAGGTGAGAAACAAAGGCTTCTTTGAAGAGGAAGGAACTTGCCCAGGGCTGGGTCTTACGATTGAAAGAGTCGAGCCTAGCTAACCTATAGCATGCCTGTAGCTTGCAGTTTTACCTTAGCTGTCCACTTACACGTTCCACACCCCCCAACCCCCCAATATCTCTGACTCAGGACAGACATCTGGAGCAATGTTAGTTCATTAGCTTGCATTTATTGAGGACATTATCTCACTTAATCCTCAGGGCTCTTGCATTTACTGAGAGCTTTTTTTGTGTTTTTCGTGTATTATCTCACTCCCCATGGCTCTAAACTGACCAGAGTCAAACTCAGGGTTGGAATCTCTGAGTTCTGTCTCCTCCAAGACTAGCTTACCTGAAAATGTGGCTAGATCATACCATAGCACCCACATGGTCCAGCCAGAGCGGGGTTCCAGCTCTGGCATTTCAAGGCATGGATAAGCACTCACATGAAAAAAACCTACACGAAACTGAGGGAACTAGATTCTGATGACAGGATTCAGAATCAAGCAACCCAAACCTCAAAGGAGAGTGGAGTCCTCACAGTTATACCTTAACCTGTTAAAGATTCCTCCTATAAATAAATATACATATACATATATATATATATATATATGCGTATATATATTATTTGGTCAGTTCTGGGGCTTGAACTCTGGGGCCTGGACACTGTCCCTGAGCTCTTCAGCTAAAGGCTAGTGCTCTATCACATGAGCCACAGTGACACTTCCGGTTTTCTGGTGATTAAATTGAAGATAAGAGTCTCATAGACTTTCCTGCCCAGGTTGGCTTTGAACGGCAGTTCTCAGATCTCAGCCTCCTGAGTGGCTAACATTATGGGCGTGAGCCACCGGCACCTGGCTTGGTTACATATTTTGAGGACAGTTGTAGTTAGTGGGCAGATTGAAGGCACCTATGTTCCCCGCGTTCTGTTCAGTCTTCTAGATTCTGACTAACCGGTACTGGAGTGTCTTTCTGATTGAGGTTCTTTTTAAATTGTTATTATTATTGTTGTTGTTATACAAGGGAGTTATACAAGGGAGGTGCCGTTTAACAAAGCAGTTTATGAATACTTCTTGATCAGTATCACCCTTTCAACATTCTCACTCATCCCTCCCCTCATACGTGTGCTGCTGCGTTTCATGTGCATCTGAGAATAATGCAGCAGCACACGTATGAGTCACGTGATGCACTGTGGGTTATCACAGCAACTGAAGATAATGCAAAAGGTAGGTCTGGTGATCACCCCTGTTTTGCATGTGGGAAAACAGACTCAGAGATGCAAGTGACTCACCCTGGACACCCTGCATTCTATCCAGGATCCTACCTGATATGGGTGGGGTCCCACAGCTTGTTTATCTGTCCGAAGTGTTGTGATCATCGGCCACATCTTAGCTCACTTTCCAAAAAATAAAAATAAAAAAAGTCTTCTCTGTTGGACAGACCTGGGCACCTGTCAAAGGTTTATCTCATTTTTGCCAGGTATTTCTCCAGGGGGTGTCTTGTCCTTTAGACTTCTGCTGCCTCATTTCCAAGTGAGGGAGTAAATGAGTGAATGCCTGTAGTTGGGCAGGTGTGGGAGGTCAGGGGATTGGGGGGGGTGGAAGGGAGGTCAGAGGACCGGGAGAGAGTCGGGGTAGAGAGCAAGTAGGGCCTCTGGAGCCTGGATTCTGTTCCAGGCAAGAGGTGGGGCAGTCATTGAGGTGTTAACAGAGCAGAGACATGATGTGCCCAGAGCTGCGTGGGAAGGAACCCAGAGGGCCTGTGGAAGGCCAGGATGGGGGGAGAGGCTGGGTCATGAGGCTGGGATGGAGGTGATGTGGATTGGGTGGGAAAGATAGGATTCAATGAAAGGCAGAATTTGGGGTGATGAGAATTTGGGAGAGGCCTCAGATGGGGCCTGTGGGAGACCACAGCATTTCTTTGGTACATTTTAGGGATGAAGAACCACCCACTCTGTGTGCTCTGAGCAGAAGAGGGAACTGTAATGCACATGTGATGGATGGAACAATGCTGGGCTCCCATGCTCCAATGGTGACCCTCGGCTGCAGGCTCTCTTTCCATCCTGCTCTCTCTTCCTGAGCTGGCACCATGTTCACAAAGAGCCAAAGGCCCCCAGTAACCTCAACCTGCATCCTGTTAGGACATCAAACCTAGCAGCAAGAGGTAATTAAACAAAAAAAATTCCATAACCAAAGTGCCAGGGGGCTTCTCATTGGCTAAGCTTGGGTCACATGCCCAGGTCATTGAAATTGGGGGGAGGGGCTGGGAAGGTGGCTCAGTGGTAGAGCGCTTGCCTTGCATGCATGAGGCCCTGGGTTCGATTCCTCAGCACCACATAAGCAGAAAAAGCTGGAAGTGGTGCTGTGGCTCAAGTGGTAGAGCGCTAGCCTTGAGCTGAAGAGCTGAGGGACAGCACCCAGGCCCAGAGTTCAGGCCCCACGACTGACCATAAAAAAATTCCATGGTTTATTAGCCACTCAGAGCCCTAAATACTGCCCTGCAAGGTCGGGGCTGAGACTGGAGGCTGACATGCTCCGTCCACAGGACTTTCCTTCCTTCTTGTCATCTCTCCCCAGTCCTCGGCTGTCCCCTCACCTGTCTGCCTCAGCAAGCCAGGGATGAGTTCTTCCTGACTTCGAGGTAATTAGAGCACAGTTCAGGCCTTCCACATTCCCTTAGGTTCTAGCAAGGGTGGGCGTGGGTGGGGTGTGGTAGGCTCCCCACAACTGCTCAGCAGAGTTGCTTTGGGGGATGGCAGAAGTCTGTTCTGTTTCTCTCTGGTTCTGGTTTTGCTGTCCCGCTCTGTTGGATTCTGTTTTTAGCTCCAACCCCTCATGGTGGCTCATCTCAGGTTCACATGCAGTTAGAAAGAGTAAGAACGCCTCCTTGATTGGACTGTGTTTAAGTCACATGCTGATTCTGGAACTTTGGTGACTAGTGAATGCAAGATATTGATTGGCCGGGCCTAAGTCATGTGATCTAAATCTCTAACCCTATCCTGAGGACACAGGAAACACCTATCTACTATGAGGACACATGTTTGTTTTCAGAATACAAATGAGAGAGAGGCTTGGAAGGAATAAAGTACTTACTTGCCTGGTTGGCTCAGACAGAGGGTGACAGAGCCAGGCCCAGACCCAAGGCTCGTTTCTATAGTGGCTGTCACTGGGCCATCTCGTGTAGGGTGCAGGCTCCCGGCCCCACAGGTACGGACAGCTCCCTACGCCATAGCCTTTCTCAGGTCTGCAGCGCTTGTGAAAAGACACGAGCTAGAGGTCCATTTAAAAATTATTATTTTTTTATTAACATCATCTTCCCATTTAGCCAAGTGTCTGTTGTGTATAAGGAATGTCGGTAAATATTCCATTTGAAGCTTCTTTGTACATATTTCCATCGATAAATAAACTCTGAATTCACATAAAAAAGTTAAACTTAAATAACTCATATTTTCCTTCTCTTGTAACAGGCATATATTGGTAAAATATAAATATTCTTGGACTCAGGCTTTGTTCTAAGTAAAGAGAACAGTTATTTATCACATGGTACAATTATTGACAATAGAACCAAGAAGTTGTCAGCTGGTGTCCTGGCATGGACTGGTACTGAGGTGGGAACAGAAGATTCACATTTGGTTTCTGGGCCAAGGAGGAGGAGGGGAGGCAGGAGGGGACAGAGGACAGGACAGTTGCTTTCTTTACAGCTCTGATAAAAATAATCTGTTCTGCCACTGAATTTTTTTTAACTTGGAATATATTCTTCTATATTTACTGATTAATTCCATAATCATTTTACTTAAACTCAGATGTCAACTAACCAAACAAATATGGCACATAATGATCCATTTTGAACAACGTTTGGAGATTTGAAACTATCATTGGGCTGGCAAAGAACAATGAGAGAAATTAATGCACGAGGAGAGAGCGATGATTTGGGGGTGGCTTGGTGAGTTCACTGTGGTCAGCGGAACACCTGTCCAGGGCCTCCATGTGGCAGATTCGTCCCCTGGTGGCCCACGCAGGGCCTCTGTGGTCTGCAGGGCGGGTGAGGCAGGCGGCCGGCTCAGAGCACACGGGGGATAATGGTGAAGGGCACAGCAGGGCTGCTGGCCTCCAGCTCCAAGGCTGTCAGGAAACACTCAGTGGCCGCCGCATCGTTGCCCTGAGCTTGGAGGACCTCACCCAGCCCGTTCCATACCTCGTGGGCTGTCGAGTTCACCTGGACAGCGTCCCGGAGGATCTTTTCTGCCAGACTGTAGCGGCCTAGCTGGTGAAGGATCAGGGCCTGCAGGAGTGAGAGACAGACATGAAAACAGACGGTCAGAGACTCAGGAGCTCTGGTACCTATCTGTTCTTGGGTTGGCAGCCAAGTCTGTGGATGAGAGAATTATGTCTCTACTCAGCTAATTCTCAAGTAATTCCTGGACTCCAGGTTTAAAGCCAGGGCCTTATACTCTCCTTTAGCATTTCTAAATTTTTGCTCAAGGCTGGCATTCTATCACTTGAGTCGTACCTCTACTTCTGGTTTCTTGCTGGCTAATTGCAATAAGTCTTACAGATATTTCTGCCTGGGTTGGCTCTGAACTGTGGTCCTCAGATCTCAGCCTCCTGAGAAACTAGAATTATAGGTGCAAGCCACCAATGCCTGACTTCTGTTTTGGAGTCTTTTATAAGACTGATATTTACCTACCATCATAACTTCCTAGTCTGTTCTTTGACTTCATAAATTTGTTGATGAACAATAATGGGGGGGGAAGTGCCTCACTTCAAAGCTTAGAAAGCTAATCTTCCACAGATCTGAGATGTCTCATTTTCCTTATTGAGACATTCCTGGTTTTAAACTGAGCCTTGACCAACAGAGATGTGTCTGTGTTACTGTGCTAGACACAAACTGGCCATTCCTGCCTGCCTTCCATGCTTATAACTAATTTTGGATCAGCACCATACTGTTTTAACTTCTGTGACTCTGAGCCATGTTTTAACAGGTAGCTAAGTCTTTCCTCTCTGCCCTTTGACTACAGGACGCTTTGTCATCAAAGCAGGGGGACTACAAATTTATAGATAAACCAATCCTTAAGGCTCCTCCCAGCACTCTCCTAGTTCCTGGGGACTGTCTGGAGTCCTCTGGGTGGAGTCCAGGGTGGTGTGGTAAGGGATCTTGCCCCTTGGCTGGGACAGAGCCCTCCCACCCGAGACCTGCTTGGAAGGAAATAGAATATTCAGACAGCCTCACTACCGGATCTCAAGCAGACCACATACATGGGGACCATTTCCCTGGCTGTGGTCAGCAGGATGTCAGGCCTACCAAAGCTTCTGGCTGCTTCCCTTCAAGGGGAGCTGTCAGCATAGGCTCCAATGAAGTCGGTGAAGGTTGGGGACAGGCAGGGGTCTGGGCAGGGTCACAAGCAGCCATGGGGTTACAATGGAGACTCTTTTTGTTCTTCAAGAGGTGAGGCAGTATTGAACACACTCTGCAAGAAGGTTCTGATCCATTCTCCCGGCAGGGAAGCCCACTGCCCGCCACTGGCAGCATGGGGAGGGACAGGCCACCACGGAAAGGCAGAAAAAGATGCCTGCACTTACTTGGCTGTGGGTGGAGGGCACAGTTCAAACACCAGGCTCGTCGCCTGTACAATCGGTTCCTTTCTTCCTTTACGGGGGAAGTGCTGGGCACCGTGCTGGACACTTTACTTGGCTCATCTATTGTCACTGCTTTAGCTACAGGGAGACAAGCTTTCCGAAAGGCCACATTTGTGCCCAAGGTTACAGCGAACACTGAGTTACAGGCTGCCTGCTGTGCTCACGGCCCAGAGCTGCCCCCGTGCCTTTCAAAGGCTAGCCCACATCTGTGACCACGGGCAGAGCACTGTGGGGCTCTCTCCCATCATGCCCCAGTGGACTCAGGCAATAACCCAATCACAAGCATCCAAGCAACAGCAAATGGGCGTCTGACACGCTGCGTGTTCCCTTTCATTTCTTTGGCCACTAATGGCTGATTTGATTGCTTCTCTCCCCAGCCTGCTGCTCAGTAGGGTTGCGTGTCTATTTGCTCATGGATGGGGCGGGTCCCTTGCTTTCCTTTAGGTGGCCCATAGGCGGCCTGAGGCTGCGGATGGCTGCTGGTGCCAAGGCACCAGGGGATACTGCTACTGGGGACACCTGGAGGTGTTCTCTGTGCACACAGAGGCCATTCTCTCATCTTGCTGGGTGTCGCCCGGCCCAGGGCTCACCTGACTCTCGTCCTTGGTGCTGGGAGCTGCGCCCCTCTGCATTTCCCTAGCATTTAGGGCTCTTGTTTGTCAGAAATCTGGACTTGTCCTCCCAAGGTAGGAGCAGGCTGCCATTCCCAGATGATCTTGTGGCTTCCTGAGCAATCTGCTTAGTAGAATTAATTCCTACACCCGGAGCTGTTCAGGGACATAGCACAGACTTGCCAGGGGCTGCCAGTGTAGGCTTGGCATGGGAATGTTGAAACAGGCCTCAGTCCAGATGCCTAGCAAGCCAATGGTAGCTCATGAATCAGCCCCATCACAACACTGACCTGAGCAAGCTCCAGCTGGGGTCTGCACCACTGCAGGAGCCAGCAAGGCCAGAGGTGGGGTGGGAGCCGGACATGCCTGGCTGTTAGCGGTGATGCTACCCGGAGGCTTGCTTCTCCTGCCCTGGACTTGAGCAGTTCTGCCGCGGGATCCTGACTTCACAAAGATCTGAGTTCTCACTCCAGAGACTGGCACTCAACCATCCTCATTGCCAGGGGGCCCCACTTTCTGGGGTCTCTTGGGGATGGCTGAGTTTTTTCCCCCTCCTCCCTCTCCCCCACCTGGCTACTTCTTGCTCCAGGCTTGCTCCTCTGCCAGGGCTCCAGCCCATCTGCCACTCCTACAAGGGCCCAGGCTGCACTGCCTCCCGTGGGCAGCCCGACCCCGAGGGGGACAGCTTTACCTTCCCACCTACCAACCGGACAAAAGGAAGAGATTCTGTGAAGTATTTCATGGCCAGGATGCTTCCTGTCTCCTTATCAAAACTCAACCAACAACATCAAGAGCTGGCTCAGGTGTCTGGAGAGGAACTTGTAAGACCTGACTCGCAAAGACCAGTGAAAATGGAAAATGTGTTAACGACGCACAGCCATTACTCTGTGCTGGGTGATGGCTCTCTGCTTGGCAGGCAGGACCCCTCCATCTTCATTCACCTCTGGGAACCCATGCAATTGCAGATCATGTTTCATAGACCAGATGACCTGCCCAAGCAAGCCCTTTGCTGAGCTGAAGCAGGAACTGGTGTGTGTGTGTGTGTGTGTCTGTGTGTGTGTGTAAACAGATCTCCACCTGCCCAACCTGAGGCTCCTGAGCCAGCTGGGCCCAGCCTGCAGCAAGGAGGGGGAGTCACCTCTGAGCTCCTTTGCTAGTCCCTCTCATCAGACACAAATGAAGATGGTTCTCAAGCTTGTAATTATTCTAATCAGGTGTTTTGTACAAATAAGATCTTGGTGATGCACCAAATTAGAAATAAAGGATTAAATGAAACCCGTTATTTCAAATGAGACAAAATGGACTTGGCTAGTTGGAGGGCAATTAGCATCTTCCTCACTCCTGCCTTTCTCGTGTGGTAATTGCTGCCCCAGGACTGAACACCTTGTCGTATGCCAGGGAGCCTTGCAGGAGCCCTGTGTGTGCTACTGTGCTCTGGGAGTGCAGGGCAGCAGCAGGGTAGCCTGAGTCAGAAGCCTGCAGGGTCTCAGGCCGTTTGGGAGACCTTAGACAGCCCCATGGTGCTCTGTTCATGAGCAAAGTCAGCTGTGTGCTGGGCTCAAGAACACGTTATTGCCTGCTGCGTAGGCCGCTAGGTGAGGTACAGGCAGAAGGAGATGATGTCCCCGGAAGAAAGCGTCCTTCTCAAAGAAGCCATAGCGCAGAAGTCCCGTGGTTCAGCTCTAGCTGGGGTGCTGGCTCCTTAGGCAGAGTTTGGGGAGTATTCTGCCTTCCACAGCCTGGCTGGTGCTGCCCACACCACACTATGTGCTAGCTGGCCAGGTGTGTGCAGAGGCTCCTGGACCCACAGCAAGGTCAGGGACAGAGGAGGGAGTCTGCTGTCAAGCGTAGGACTGGATCACTTCAAGAGCATTTGTCCCTTTTCTAGGTCAGAAACGCCGCCATTATACCCCTGCAGGCGGCAGTGGCGGGGCTGCAGCTCTTCCCAAACACAAATAAGCCTGGGAGGACAAAGGCACCGGTCCACCAGCTGTATTAGGTTTTAGTGTGCAAGGGGAATAATAAAGGATGCACTGTGTGTTTTACTGATGGCAAGCTGCTTGCCTGCTTGTTCCGCTTGGTGGTTTTAGCTCCAGCTCTACCTCCTCACTAGGTGGGGTTGTGGGTACCTGGAGGACAGGGACCAGATCTGTGTGGTCATCTCTGCACCTCCAGGTTCCCCCTGACAGGTAGCATGTACTCAGGGCAGACCGGGTAAAGAAGCAGCCACGAAAACCCAACACACAAGAATACAACTTAAGCCACTGCTGGTGTAGCTTTCAGAGTGGCGTTGTTCAGAGCAGAGGCTATGGGGCAGGGACATGCTGTCTGGCAGGACAGGTGAAGTCCTGGAGGAGGTGGGTGGGGCTGAGGAGCAGGTGCAGCTTTTCCAGGGCCTGGCCTGGGCCTCGGCAGCGGGCACCCCTGGACTTTGGACAGTGTGATAGAGGCATGCCAGGGTGGGATCCTGTGGGGAGGCAGCAGCCAAAGGAAAGCTTTGTTACCCTCAAGAAGAGCACAGAGTGGCAGAGCTGGCTGGGCCCAAGCGGCAGATGTGCTAAAGGGCTGAGGACACTGGAAAGGAGCCGGAAGGACTCTGCCAGTCCTGGCTGCTGCAGGGGACTGTGAGTTTGAGCCTTTTCCACAGGGGAAAGGCTCCAAGCTTTCTGTAGTGTGTGAGCTCTAGGGTCACCCAATGGCTAGGTCTGACTTCCAGCTCAGTTATCTACTTGGCCCAGTTGCTCTGAGTCTCAGAAGCCTTTTCTGTGGGGACCAATGGGATGTGCCACGTGCTAGCAGACTGCTCCACACACACGTCAACCTTGGAATGGCTGCCATCATCCCATGTCCTTCTCATTTCTGTGAATGATGCGAGGGGAGGGGACCTCCAGCAGTTGGTTGACCCTTTGATGCCATCCCTAGCCTCTGATTTGTCTTTGAACACATAGCACGGGGTGGCTGGCACCAAGAGGTTCCTTGTAGATGCCAGCTGCATGGAAGCCATGGGGCGTGGTGTAGGAGAGTGGGCGTGGCC